TATGTATATTTTATACAATTGTATAAATTTTCTTTTCAATTTAATACTATCAATATATTTGATTGATTTTAAAATGCACCAAATTTTTTAATTATAAATACAAATATTGTATCAGTTTTAATATATTATAGAATTGATAATTATTTTATTAAAAAAATTAACATATATAATGTGAAATAAGTAAAAGTTATTTCTTTCAGTTTTAGTTTGTTTTTTGATTTTTATTTTAATTTTTTTCCTTTCTTTTTCTCTTTCAATTAATATTATTAAATCAATTCGGTAAGTTAAAAACAATTTCGGCAAGGATAAAAGGAAATAAGAAGTTCTAAAGAGAAATTATATTTGATTGTAAATGATTCAATATTATATACATGGATACATATATTTATTTAAAAAAAGAAAAATTTAAAAATTCTATTGATTTTTGATATTATTTTTGTTAATTTCAGGGTTTAGGGCTGGACCCACCGGCCAGTGATGAGTGTGAAGAAGCTTACAGTCCGTCAGATACAAGATCGTTTACACCACCACCACCGCCCGGTATTTCAAAATTTACTCAACCAATTCTTGACAAAGTTTCAAACATAACGATACCACCAAATTTGCAAGAAATCTTAGCAAATGTTAAACGACAAGAAAGTTCAAAAATAGACCCATATTTACCATCCAAACCCAGTGCTACATTCTTAACTACTGCAAATTCTTCAATTTATCAAAATTCAGAAAAATATTCTTCACCGCCTTCTATGAAACTCTCAGTTGGAGGATCAAATAAATCCAATGCTGATAAATCCTCACTTGAACCATCATCTAGTCATCGAGAATCAATTTTAAAGGAAAAAGAAAGTAAAAGCACTTTAAGTTCATTAAGTGATTTGGATTTAATCAGAAAAGCAGAAGAAGAATTAGCGGCCGTTGCAGCTGCATCAGCTGTGGTAGCATCAGGAACAATGATGACTGAAAATTCTGTTCCATCAACTTTATCTACAACACCAACTGTTCCAACAATCATTTCCTCTCCATCATTAATACCAGTATCTGTAAATCTTTCAAGTTCGACAACAGATTCTCCCACTCACGAAGGAACTTCTTATAAAAATCCCTTTCCAGAAACTTTTAAACGAAATATAGCTCCTGAACAGCCGAAACCTCCGGGTCTCGAAGATGAGGATTTTCCTCCGTTCCCGTCTACGCCACCAAGTGTGGAAAACAATGTATCTAAAACAATGTCTTCTCGTTCAAAGTTTGTTCCAAAAAGTGGAATTGTGTTAAGCGTTAAAAGAAAAGTTAATGATGATAGTATTGCTCCTTGTACTCCAAACAAGACACAAAGGGTAAAATCAAGATGGGGTCAAGGTCCTTCCGAATCGATTGATTAATTGTATTTATACATTTACATACAGGAAGAAATTTTTTGCAATGGAAGGTTGAGAATATCACATGACTTGAAAATTTAATTATTTTTCGCGAATTTCAAACGCGATATCACTGAAAAAAATGTAGCCAAATTGATACAAAAACTCATTACTTTTTTTATGAGATATAACGATTGGTAATTAATATGGAGAAAGAACAAACTATTGGAAATGTTTTCGTACTAGATAGATAAACTTGGTATTTTGTGTTTATTGTTATTTGATACGTAAAAATGGATCTGTTCATGTCGATGTTTGCTCTTATGAATTGTATGTGTGTGCATATGTGTATAAGTGTGTTGCTTGTGTACATGCGTGTGTGTAGTATTAAATATGAAAACAAAGAAAGAAATTAAAGAAAATCAAATATCTTTTGTCGAAAAGATTTCGGCACCTAAGATTACTTGTAAATACTAAGGCGATGAAAATGAACGTTCATATCGCTCATTAAGCTCTTCGCTATATGTATATAGTCTTATTGAAAATGCTGTAATATATTGTTTAAATTTACTCGGAAGATTATGTAAAACGGTGCATACATTTGTGTGCGCTGTCAGTGTATATATATAAGTTAGTTATAAGGATCTACGACCGACCAATATCTTTATTCAATCAGCACATTTGTATATTTATTTGTGCGGTTGTGATTCATACATCGTGCATCTTTCTAACAATTCATAAATATGTATAACATAATATTTTTAGGTTTGTAACGCTTCATTCGGAAAATTAAATATTCATATAACGGTGTAATCGTAGATTCTTTGACGCGCAAATCGTTATGTCGCTTAAGATATCATAAAATCCACTATAATAACGTTTATTTTTTCACTTTGAGATCGATGAAAAGGCTAACCAAAAAAACGACGATCTCATCTGTTCTCTTTTTAATATTTGCTTTAAGTTTATATGTACGCATTAATCTCTCTGCGTCACATAGTTAACGCATGTTGATAAACTAGTACTATATTATTTTTACATTATTCTCTCTATTAAATTTTGTTTATTACCTTTGTTTCATTTTCTTTTCACCGATGCTATCGAGATATAACCATTTTTTTTATATGTTGCAAGTAATACGAAATCTTATTCAATGATTGAAGATCTGTTACATATTATAATGATGATTATACATAAATATGATTATTATATTGCTAAAAATATGCAATTCAAACGAAAACTTATATTGATCAATACACACTTGTACGAATTATGTATGTATCAAAATTCGAAGAAACAAATATCTTGATCAAAAGAGAATTTTTTTCTCGTGCAATTTTTTCTATTCTTAGATAAAATCTTAATCATTGCACGAATATAACTCTTTTTATAAACAAAATCCTGTGTACCTTTATCTATATTCGTTTTATACAAATCAATTATCGTTAAACTTAAGTTTTGTACACATTTTTGAATAATGTGACACAATAACAATTCACTATATAATCACATTACTATCGCTTTCGTAGCATTATTTTTATTATTATAATTATTAATGCCATTTTTATTGCTAGAATAATAGTAAATGAACTCAATTATCATCATTAATTACAGTTATTATCATCATCATCTGTTGTTCATTATAATCATCCAACAATCATTATAGTTATCATTATAATTACCTAATATTATAAAAATAATATCGAAGATCAATACATAACATAATTAATTTTGATTGTAAAAGTATATACAAATTTTTTATTTTTTAAATGAATTCAAAAAAATCAAATATTTTAAATCATTAGAATAGTTTGATTACTGAGTGAATTAGAAAATAATATAATTCGTTTTGGGTTAAATGTTAATGATAATACATATTGTATTTAAAAGTAAAATTAAAATTTTTTATTTTTTTAGTTCTAAAATTTTCAAACGATTTCAAAATGATTTATTATATTAGTTTGGATTTCTAAAAGAATTTTTAGAAAAAACGGAAATAATCTTCATACAGTTGTAAAAAAAAAGTTCGAATTATATTGATTTCAGTTTCTATATTAAATATCGGTTCTATATTTAGACGTATTTAAGTAAAAAATTTTGAGATGATTCTAGAGATTAAAATATACATAGAGATAAAAATTGATACAAAAATATTTCTTAAAATTTATTTTTCAATTTATAAGTAATTTTATTTTATATTAAACGAAATAAAACAGAAATAAAATGTGATGATTTTGATTTGTTAAATCACTTTATATGTTTTATTTAATTTCTAAAATCTAAAATCATTGCTTAAATTTTATGTTTAATTAATTCAATACTGTATGATGATTTCATAATAATATATCAATTATAATACACATATTTGTATCAGTTTTGCATTAGACAAATATTAAATTAATAATGTTTATTTAAATATTAATTAGTTTATTAATTGTGAACGTAGTCACTATTTCTTCGATTTTATTATAATTTATTATAATTTAAACATAAAATTAATATATCTCCAACCCAAAGAATTACATTTCATGTTATTCATATTTCTTTATTGCCCTTTTTGTTTTAGTTTCTGTTTTTAAAATTAAATTTGATAGAAACTAAATCGTAAGATAGAATTTATAAATCAATACTGTATTGTTATATAAGCGAATTGATATAATATTAATTATGTAGAATCGAAATTGAAATTAAATCACTATAAATGATATAATAATGATATATAATATTGATTTTCTAAAATCAAAATTAAAATTAATCAATATAAATTAGAATTTTTTTAAAATTATTTCGGTTTTTTAAAACTGTTTCAATTTAGAATTTTTAATTTTCATTGCGAATAAAACATAATTTTGATTGAATTCGAACATTTTAATATATTTTAATTGTTGTTTCTCATAACCAATCAATTTTTAGTGACTTATAGGAAATTTATTATTATTATTATACTTTATGCGCATGCTTTCTCTATTACAATATATTTTCGTTTCGCTACTTCCGGAAAGAATTGTCCATTTTTCCGTACACGCGCAATGGATGAAGAGCCATTTTGTCCGGAGCAGCAACGTGGCAGCCGGTGTTCCCGGTGTTCTTATTACAATGAATATTCGTAAGTATATTGAATAATAGTATATTATTTTCAAATGTATTTTATATAAAATTGGATACAAATATTTGTAGATATCATATTATGATATTTATATATTTTATATATATATATATATATTATATATTATATATAATATCCGTTCTTTACATTTTAGTTACATTGACTACACCCCTAATTTTTTTTGTTCACTTCAATTTATTATTTTTATTTTTATTATTTTGAATTTATTGATTATTTTAATAATTATTTTAAGTATCTATATATTTTATATTTTTAAGTTCTTAATATTCTTAAGTTCATTAGTAATTTTTATCTGTTTTTTAAATGGATAATATGTGTATATTATATTTGTATGTTCTTATTTCAAATTATCATTTTCACAAATTTTAATATTTCATTCATTATAATTTTAATATATCATTATTATATTATTTCACTATAATTTCTTATAAAATATTATAAGTAAAAGGTGCGAAGTTCAAGTTAACATTTAATATTTAATTTTTTTTCAGTTATATCATTACTAGTCACAATTATCGGTATAACAACTTGTTTTTCGACCGAAATATTACAGTCTACAAATTCCTACTTAACTACAGCTGATAGAATTCATCTGAAAAAAATACTTGAACCAGGTTTAACATCAAATGATGTTACATTTATGTATTATGCAGTTCATGGATATACATTTCTTGGTGAAGTTTTATCAAACAAACAAGTAAGAAAAATTTTTATGAAAAATTTTAATATTTTATTTGTTTATTTAAAAATATTATTTATCAATATATAAATGATGAAATATTGCCATAATTGAAATATAATGATATCTTGATTAGTCTTACTGATTTAATCATTTATTTATTGTAATATTTTAAAAATATTTTGAAAATATTTTGACAAAATTTATATGATTTTTAGGATATTTGTAATTTTATGATAAAAATTATAAAAGATGATAATAACATTACAACTGAAAAAGCTTTTTACATTGCATCTATATGGCAAACCATGGGAAATTGTCAAGCCAATTCATTATTTAATATTATAAAGGTTTGTATTTAAAGATTTTGTATTATAAGGTTAATACATAAAATAGTAAATTTTTAAATATAATGATGTTTCAAGACTTTCGTTCTGCTAGATTTCTATATTGAAGAATAACTTTATTTACTGAATAAGAGTATTGTTATATATATATTAATGAAATTTTTGTTATTAGAAATTAAAAGAATTATTTTATATAAATAGGTGTTTACAAATACAATAGAGAAAGAAACTTCAAGTATGATGGAAATATATTATGCAGTAAATGGTCTGAATATTTTATCGGAAAAATTGTCACGTGATAAAATTGACAATATAATAAAAACAATACAAAATATGCTACGAAAGGATGACAACTTATGGAAGTACGACTACTCTGCTAATATTTTAGTCTTATAATTTATGTAATTTTTATTAAAAGTTACAAGATTTGAATCCAAGTTCTAATTTTTCTTGATTGAATATTCTACGAGCAGCTTGGGTTATGCATTTCACATTGCTTCGGATTTTGGAACAAGCGGTATGTTTGCTTTTGATCGCATTGAAGATGCCATTATTCAAGCTGATGAAGTAGATGGCCAATATTTACAATTTGAAGGTGGTCTTTCGGTAACTAGTAAGTATTAAATTATTATTATTAAATTTATTTATTTTAATTAAAATTACAATAAAATATATTATGCAGTAAAAGTTAAATTTTGTTTGAAAGACCAAATTATTAATTTTTTTATGTTTTCTTATAATATTTGATAAATATTATTTAAGAATATAAGTTTTAATAAGAAGTTTTCATATTAGTTTAATATTATGAAATGTTTGCAATAAATTTATGAATCAAATTTAATATGCTCCAATTTAGACCTAAATACATTACTTATTGTAAAGTAATATAATAAATAGCATTAATTAGAGATACA